TTTTTATTTTGACACTTGGCGACATATTAATTATGTATACGCCTCCCAACCGGACACAATACCAGACCAGTATCCTCACCCATGCCCATTCCAGGCAGCCTGCAACCGGTCGCAATATATTTTGGGATTTGGATTACACTTGACTATGATGTGGTATGATGATATAATATTCACATTTAACCCCTTAAACACAAGAGCGATTTCAGATTTCGGCTTAAAACCTCCGATTTGCTGGCTTGATCAATTTGTCTAATTGGGAATCAAAATCAAAATGGATTTATTAAGTTTGCAAAATTTATAGATGCTTAAATTATTTGTCAAACTCATTTCTAGCTAACAAGTTAGGAACTAATTATTTTTGCAAAAATATCATATTAAAAAATATTTTTAAAAATATATTTATATATTTAGATAAATCTTAAAATAAATAATACTTAAATAATAAATAAATAATACCAAAATAAGATTTTTTGCACACATTTATAGGTCTTGAAAAATAACCGGTGATGGAATAATTTATATCCAAAACATGTTTTTATATAAATTGGAATATTGATTAAAAAAATGGCCGATTTATTGGATTTGATGGAAAATATGAAAGAAAATTATGTTTAAGAGATGAGTTTACTATCAACGATTGAGATCGTGATTTTTGTTACTTCCTGTGAATGTCTCTTGTCATTTGCTATCTCCAACATCTACGTCGAGTGCTGAGGAGGATTTTATTCAAGCATTGCACATTTTTGGCAGTGTTTATTATGCGTTGATTGAAAAACAAACAAAAAACATATTAAAAAAAACTTGCTTGCATCTCAAAAATTCAAATTGTATATGGAAAGTGAGCATATGCTCTACTCAGAAAATCAGTATTCTTAAAAAGAAAAAATACCAAGAATTTGCACAATTTATTAAGAGTTTCAGTAAACTATTTTGTATATAAAATAATTTTAAAAATGGATTGTGACTATTTAATTTTTTTTTATAATCATTGTATACAAAATAATGTGTGCAGTTCAAAATTCGATTTATCCAAAAATGTACCTTTTTTAAAAATAGCCTTATCTCTTAACTGAAATCCAAAATCCAAAATCCTTAACAAAAATCCACTTACAAAGCAAATTGTGCAACAATGGGTTAATTGCAGTGGGTTAATTGCATACAATAAAAATAACTAAAAATGAGTTTACTGAGATTGCAGGCCAATTGTCTTGGCCATAAAAATGCTTAACGAAATCTATATTTGTATATAATTTAACGAAAAGTATTTGTGTACATATATGGTCGTATTGTAATTATATATTTTTCAATTGTTACATCATTGGCATAGAAAAGTGAAAAACCCGTTGTTCGATTTTGTTTTTGTTTTTGCTTGAATTCCTCGAGCTGCTAATTTGTGCGGAAAACTTATCGGTTTTCAGGCAATTAACAAATAGACTGCTGACCAACTGCAGGTTTCGTTTCGGCCATTTATATCATTGTTAATATTGTTATGCAATGGAGTGGTCGAAAAATGAGTCTAAAACAATTTGTGTGGCTTACAATTTTTATTCATACAATTTAATAGTCCTCCAGCTGTTACCTGAACTTGATACCAATTTAGCAGCTTGTGATTTATTTGAAACTTTTGGGATTGAGTATTGATAGGTAAAGAGATAATGATATGTATGGTATCTACAAATCTATTCATCTGTATAGAGCACTCTTACTCATTCCCTGAGGTCAATTTAAGATATTATACAGAGATATAGATTTGAATGTAGGTTTTCATATAATATGTGAATAATATGTGAGCATTTTAGAAAGACAGAAGCATTACAATAAAATGTTCACTTTCGAAATGTTGCCCATAATAATATACCCTTACACGTTGGAAATAGCTTCATGACAAACACAGGTAATTCCGCTGATTTATATGGACACCTGGTTGATTAAAACAAACATAGAAATTAATTAATGAATATCTGTATTTAAAAATAAGTGTTTGATGTTTAAAATATAAAATTTTAATTGTTGTAGAAATAATAAAAAATACTTTACCTAAAGCCAGCGAAACATATGTATATATAAAACATATTGAGTTTATTTCTTTATTTTTAATTATTCGATCGTTTTTATGTTTCTCGAATATTATCACTAATCGATATCCGATAGCAGGAAAACCCCCAAATGTTGGAGGACTGCACCAATCGAGATTTATCTCTCTTTTTATATACCTTGTTTAATTTGAATAGTTCCTTCAAATCGAATAAGAAACACTTATTTCTTAGTTTTGGTTTGTTGAGTTGGGAATAAAAGATGCGATTAGATTTTGACAGTTCAGTTCAAAAAAGTTTCAATTCAATTTGTAGTGTATAATTGAAATTTTAATATTATTATAGTAATTAATTAATATTATTATAATAATTATATTATAATTGATGCTGATGAATTTTGAAATTGAATCTTTAGGTTATCAATTTGTTTCTCTAACTACAAAGATTAGACAAACTACGTTTAAAAGTTAACGTTTTGAACTTGGCTCTTAACACTGAGTCAGCTTAATTCCATATAATCAGCACAGTTGAGTTGAGTTGTGAGTTTCATTGCCATTCACAGCTTTCTCTTTGTATAACATTGCTAAATTCGATTCGTTAAATCAATTGTTTGCAATAAAAAAAATTTAATGATTGAATGCCATTTTGAGCGCGTCTCATTAGGCCTTCAGCATCGGCTCGTTAACACTTCCTGAATGAGATGGATAACCTATTAAATAAAGTGCGCCGCTGGCCAGAATGGCAACGTCAATCAAGCCAATTGCAATTGCGAATTTCATGATGCTGTCGGTGGCGCCGCAGCGTTGCACATTTAAATTGCCACAGTCAAAAACTGTCAATTCGAGTGGTTGTGGTGGAGGGGGTTATTTAAAGTGCCAACATATTTTGGCGTGGCAGCTCAATTTGTGATGGCTTTGTCAAGTGGCAAGTGGTAAAATCAAATGTTTTGTTCAGTTTGCTCTTCGAGATTTATTTGGAGTATCGTTTTCAGTTTCGGCTGTTGGCCAAAAACCGATGCTGAAAACGGTTACGGTTACAGTTTCGGTTTGGAGGCTTTGAGGCAACCAGGAAGCAGCCACAGGCCTCATATTCCTTGTGGCATGTTGAACCTGCTTCCAATTGCTGATGCCGTTTGTTGTTGTTGTTGTTGTTGTTTTTATTTGTTGTCAGTTGTCTGCCGCCGTTGCGGCTCACCGTGAAAAGCCAGCAGACATAATCGCCTGCGTTTAACTGAGGCACAAGCTTCAATTACGCTTTTGACTTTGGCTCTGCCATTTGCCGACATACCTATCCATCCTCCTCCGTATTCCGCCTGTGGCTGTCTGCCCCTAACCCGACCCCCATGCCACACCACAGTGGCTGGCACAGGTTTGGCGGCTTTTCACAATGTCGCTGGCATGTATTCGAGGCGGTTCCCATCGCTCTCTGTGCGCCTCTTATTCAGCATTGTGTGAGCATATTTTCGAGAGTGTCTTGCTAATGTGATTGCCGTTGTGCGTTTACATTTGTTGCCGCTATTTGTTGTAGTATTGTTGTTATTATTGCTGTTGCTGTTGTTGTTGTTGTTGCTTTTACTGTTGTTATATGAGCCGTATTTTCACTATCAGTTTAAAGCGCTACATGGCAAATACTGCGGCTTATTGGCAACCAACTCGCTGATGTCAAATAAGTCTACGAATCACAATAATCATATATATATATATATATATATATATATATTAAATTCAAATTTTATTTCACTGATTTTTTTTTTAATTTTTTCGATATTTATTATTCAACTGAGAGAGATTAGCATTTTATTAATTTAATTTTTTTATTTATATTTTGCTTTCCCAGTGCTAAATATTTAACCTTTTTATTTAAGGTATTAAGTACAAATGAAAATCAGTTTAATTACAGTGAACAATGTTTTTTTCGCTAAAAATAAATCTCAAAAATATTAAAAAAAATAAAAATAAATCACTTAAACTGGAGATAACGAAAAAACCTATTCAAATTATAAAAAAAAAGTCACCAAACAATAAACAAAAAGTGAAAAAGATGACATAATAATAATTAGATAATAAATATTTACGATTAGAACTTTAAGATTTGTTGCAATCATTTTCACTTTATTATACTTAATATTGAATATGTTTAGGTTTAATTTGATTTTTTGAGTACACTAAAATATTTGCAAATTTTGAATCATTGAAGTATTAAAGAACACTGTGAACTCTTAGGAATCTCAGCGCTGTTGTGCGCTAAAACTTATGCCTTGCAGTTTATAGCTTATCAATCCATTTAGTTTGGCAGCTTGAAGCGGCTTAAAGAGTCGTTTTGGGGCGCAGCTGTTTTGATGTTTATGCCACGCTTTGCAGCATTTGCCGCAAACTTAGTCTCAGCGCTTGTTGACGCTCACTCTGCAACAAAAAAAAAAACAAAAAAACAAATAAATATAAAACCACCAAACTATGCTCCTCCACTACAGCCATCCCCATCTATTCCCCTCCCAAATACTCACTCCACTGGTCAACTTATGCAGCCGGTGTGTGTTGATTATGTTTTTATTTTACTTACTTCCAACTTGGCAACTTCATCATGTCATTACTTTTGTTGTTGTTATTACTGTTGTGGTTATTGTTGTTGTTGTTGTTGCCACTGTTACTCTCTACCCGACTCGCTTGCTCTCACTTGAGCTGCCTCTCGCTTTGTTGCACTCTCTTTTGCCTCTTAATTTAACATTTCGAGCTGTGGCACGTTTCACTGTGGCACCAATGTTTTTCCTCTTTTTTTTTCTTTGATTTTCTGATATTTAAGCGCCAAGCAACGCGAGTTCCCATTGCAATTTCATTTCAACTTTAGTCGCTGCTGGACCGCTGCCAAAATCGACGCGTTGCATTATTAATGCCAAACTAAATCGAGCATCAAAACAAAGGCAAATAAAAACAAACAAAAAATCGAATTAAAGTTTCGCAAGCCACGTGTCAAAATGTATTTACCCCATGGAGTAAGTGTTAATTAAAATTAAACAAGTAAAAACAACAATAAAAGTGCAATACAAAAAAGGTTACAAAATTATATTGAAATTATACAAAACTGTACAAAAAAATACGGAACACTGACATCCTGTTGTTTGCTCAAGGCAATTAAAAACAATTTTTCCCCTGGCGCCTATTCTGCCATTCATTTGCCAAGCTGCGAAGTTCGTGCAACGCGTTGGACCCACAAATTATGCAAATATTAAACAAACATTTATGAAAAAAAATAAAAAAATAAATAAATAAAATGTATAAGCCACTCCAAAAAGCCGCTTAGAAAGTACTCTCAATACACGCACATCTGATTATAAAAACAAAACCACAAATCGAAACCAAAAGTAATTAACGATTAAAATTCGCTTTTGGCCAACAAATTCATTGTCTTCAATCGGGCGTGTAATTAATTAAATTTGTGTGCAGTCAGATCGAATAAAAATAATAAAATAAACGCAATATTTTTTTATTTTTTGTAATTTAACTTTGTGCAATTTGTGCAAATAATTTGTAATTGGACTTTGGCACAAGTGTGAATCAATAAAATATCTAATAAAACAAATAAAATTCATTCGATTTTTCTTTAATTAAAATTGCATTCATTTTTTAATTTAATTTACTGATTTGAGCTCAACTTATGCATATTAAACTTTAGCCACAACTTAATACTTACTTCAAGCAAAAGAAGTAAGAAATAAGAAGCTTAACTTTCAATTTCATTTCAATCGCGGGGAAATGGAACCTTTTGCTTTACTGTTTAATCTATTAAGTGTCTACTTCAGCTTAAATATATATGTCTGCCATATTTGGAGGGCATTCCCCCCTTTACTAATACACCCAGTGTACATGCAGCAAGCTTCTGGTCTCAGTTGATTGGAAAATAAGAGCTCTTAAATATTTTAATTACTAGCATGGATAACACTTGGCTGGTAAATCAAAAAATTTCTTGAGGCAGCAGTTGCCTTGTCTATTCTAGCCACATGGCCAGGGGCAGAACAGCATGTTATTTAATAGGGAACGGAAATTGAAAAATGAGCAAAACATTTAAAAGCAATTTTCCAATTTTCAATTTCAATTTCATTTTGCTGTGTGCTCCACAACAAACTGCTAATTGAATACGCCTCGGTACAAATCTAACAATAATATCACAACTGAAATGAATTGAGAACTAGACCAAAATCAATAACAATGGAAAAGTTCTTTGGCCAACTCCCTTGCGAGTAATTTAAGAAAGTTCCCACTGTAATTACACTTGGATTTGGCCTTTAAGCTACTGCTGCCACGCCCCCCAACGCAAGCTGACAGGGCCAGATGCAATCAAAATCAGATTTGCTGTTGCCTAATATAGACATAAACATCAAAATGGCAACCGGCATTATGCTAATTATATTATTTTGTTTATAGACGCTAAAGTTTTATTTTTTTTATCACGTTTAGCCAAGTCTAAAAGATGCAAAGAAAGAAATCTGTTATGTTTTTACCCTCTAGTCGGAAAAGACTCATATAGAGGGTAGCATCAGGAGTAGCATGTACAGGTGTATATATAAAACATATATTTTCTTTTGAACTTCAGCAAATCTATAAAAAATCGAATTAAAGCTATTAATGTATTTCTAAGATTTTTGCTTTGCTGCTTGTATATTTTAGTAGGAAATCTTTCAAAAGCAAAACTTTTAATTTATTTATAATAAATTTTTAATTAAAAATTGATCTTTTAACGTTTTGGGGTGCTCTATTGCACACAGAAGTATATCGAATTTGAATGAATAATGCATAAATGAAAATTAAATTCATACGTATAAAATTCATAAATAAAAGCTGCAAAAGATACATATTAAAGATATAGCTTTATTTTTTTTTTACATATTTTATAATTTATGAAAGCTTTAATTTCAAGATAGGTATTTCATACATGCAGCTTCAAGCAAAAAAGTCTCAATACTATTTATAAACTTGTACTACTTATAAAGTTTCTATGTGGCAGGAGCAGTTTATAAACTTAAGTTGCTGGGTAAGAGGCAGCTGGCAACTCTAAGTCGACTTCTTCTATGTTTTTCTCGTACGCTTTTTGACTTGTCTTTTTTCTTTTTCTTTTTTTTTCTTTTTTTTGCAGGCATTAAGTTTGCTGTTTATCACTTGCATGATGTTTGCCCTGACGAGCGGCCATCCATCAAACGAGAAGCTTAAGTAGGTGTAACGGCCACGCCTTTAACAACATGTCCACACACACACACACACACACACACACACACCAAACTCATAACCATAACCCAGGGCCCATATCCTACCCATGTTCATTCACATCCGCATTCACATTCGCATTCACATTCACATTGGCATTCGCATTCGCATTTGCAGGATTCGGATTCATGTGCCGGTGAAGCATCACACGCATGTGCACACCAAGACGGTGATAAAGAAGGTGCCGCTGCCCATTCCGGTGCCGGTCAAAGAGCACAAGGAGCACAAGGAACCGAAGAAGCATCATCGCAGCAGCCACAATCATCATTATCGCGAACAGGACGAACTCGATGATGATTTCGAGGGTTACGAGTATCCTGTCAAATCCAGACGACGCACGCGGCATCCTTTTGTCTAATAATGACAGTGGGCGTGACAGCAATCTGGGCGTGTCACAGGCACTCAAACACACACACACACACACACATATCAAGCAAATATAAACCAAAATAATGATCGTATGAATGACAGATTCACAAAAACCTGGGTGTGATTTGTCAATGTTTAAACAATAAGCGAAACTTTTCTGTGCAATACGCAATGAGCTATAAGCAAATAAACAAATACATAATTTAAGCATAATTTAATATCGCCTTTGTCGCTTTCTCAATCTCATTAGTCTGAACTCAACTTTGTCTTTAAAAACAAATCAGAATGTGGTCTTTTTGCATTGTCAGCTTTAATTAAGACGTTGGCAATCTGGCATGGTTGGATATTAAAATTAAAGAAAACATTGGCATACATAATAAACTAAATGATCAATGTTTGAGCATATTTTGGACTATTGGCGGAAAACTGACGCAAAGAAGGAACTGGCAATTTTGTAATATTATCGGATGTGCTATAAAACAATTTTTGAATCTATTATCTATTATATTTTTGAATCTATTTATCTATCACAGGATTGAATTGTGACATTAAAACTATTTAATATGACCAAATATTATATAGATTACATTCACTCAGAAAAAAAAATCGACCTAAAATAAAAATCGCCCCAAATGAACATCGCTTTGAAGACTACATAAAAATAATTAATAAATATACAAATAAAATTTCTCAATTTTATAAAGATTTTCTTTTTATTTTACTGAATAATTCTAAAAAAAAAACATACGTAATTATATTAAAATTATATCTACAAACGATACAGAAAATTTGTATACATGAAATTTTATTAAACCAATGTTAAACCAAAGTAACACTAAATGTAAAATTTAGAGTTGTGTGTAAATTTGTTTTACACTAAAAAACATCCTGGAAAGCGGACATATTTTTTTCAACATTTTAAAAAATGTACCTGGAATTAAAAATGGAAATTTCGTGATTTTGAGAGAGACACAAACTTCTGTTTTTTAAATATACTTTCTGAATAATAAGTTATTCTTGGCGAATATCTGAAATGAAGTCCGTCTTTTTTTTGAGTATATATAAAAATTAATAAACGAAATTGTTTCGAAAATTGAGGCAAAAATTTCATGGGTAATATTAATTTTATTTTGTTGCAATTGTCCTCAAACTCATTTTCGGAGTTTTACTTATTATAGAATTCATAATAAAACCCATCTGAGACAATTTGGCGAGCACAAACAGCGAAAGTCAGCCATTGAAGCAAAAACTAAGCTGCCCCTTATTGCAAGTAAAGAGACTTGTTGATTATGCCACATGCCAGAAATTTGAAAATTGCAAATCTTGCGAATATTTGCGAAGGCTCCAAAAATTGAAATTAACTTGCAGCAGTTTGGGAATAAGCAAAACTGTGCTCATAAATAAATAAGTAACTAAAAATGAAGATTAAGAAGAAGAAGAAGAAGAAGACGCAGTGGCAGAAGCAAAAGCAGAAGAAAATCAGCAGCAAATCCAGTCGAAGAAATACCGACTAAGACAATCTCAAAATAATGATGTGCGCTTCTGCCCCTTTCAACGAATGCGGCTTAACACGGTCGCTGAGACAGCGGCAACAGCATCACGGCAGCTTATGGCCATATAAAATATGCATGCCTCAGGTACTGCCGCATACCCATAACATAACATATCAACAACAACAACATTCAAATCAACAACAAGCACTTGGGGTTGGGCGCAACGGATGGGGTGCTCTGTCAGCACGTGCTGCCCGTCTAGTAAACAGAAATGTTAACAAAAAGACAGCAACAACAATTACAACAATTACAACAACAACTACAATAACAAAATGTAAACAAGTTGGCAACGCACATTGCCACAGCTCAAGGCACAACTGATGCGGCAGCTGTTCAGCTGAGGGGCACAGCTCATTCGGGCAGCAGCAACAGCAGCAGCAGCAGCAGCAACAGACACTTGAGTGTAGCCCTTAGACTGGCAGCGCCACTCGATAAAATCACACTCAAGCCGTGCCACTCAATTTGAGTTGGCCTGGCCACCTGATCGAATCTGCCTGCCACAACCCAATCGCATTATTCCTTGTGTGCCGCATAATTAGTATGACGTCAGATAAGCACATCAATTTGCATCTATAAATGGAAGAGCTCTAAACTTCAATAATAGCTTGCCCCAAATATAGCTCTAATATAAAGTAATTATATACCGACTTGAGTAGGCTATAAATATATTAGTCTAATCCCCGATATTGGAGTATAAATTTATGCTTTTAATAAAATTCATTTGGCAATTGCAAGTTTATATTTCTAAAAATCAGGGTCTTTCATTTTTCTAATTATATTTGTTCAACATTTCGGAAAAGTTTTCTAAATTTGTGTGATTAAAAAGACTTCAAAACTCCAGCGTAATTTTAATTAATTTATGTAGAACCACAAATTATTTAAATTAGCTTTTTTGTTATTAATATTATTACACATTAGTATTATAAGATTCCAACATTTTCGATTTTTTATAATTTTATATACTTTACCATAATTTGCAAAACTTACAGTTTTATGGTTACTCTAAATATCGACCCATTTTTCGGGAGTCTAAGCTCTAAAATAGAAAGATTTGCTACTTTTTGTACCATTGTTAGAAATATATATCTTAATAATTGGAAAGATTTCTAAGAAATTAGAAGAAACAAAAATAATTTAAAATTTAAAACATATTATTTTATTGTACATTTTTTAACTAAGCGCCTTTTTCTAATTTTTTTTTTTTTAATGATGCCTTCTATTTTTTTGCAAACGTTTTTGATATTTGGAAATTAATATGGGAACTGTTGCGATAGTTTTAAGTTAATAATTTGACATATTTATTTTATTCATTAAAGTGAACTTGCTATCTACCTACTGTTAATGATTTAAAAACACAGCCTCGCAACTAAATAACATTTCTGTGCAATGAAGTTTCTAATTTTTGAAACCCTTTGAGTTCATTATACAGAAAATAAGCTAGGTTGTATCGAAGATGCTTCTATCGGTCACACACACTCTTGTATATATTTGTGATTGCCTTCATTCATTTTTTATGACCCTAAGTTTTACTGACCCTATTTCTTCAAGTAGCTGAGATTGGCAACATCATGTAGACATGCGCAAAGAGACATATTGTCGTCAATATGGCTTATAACTTTTCAGTTCCTGCTTTCCGATTTATTCAACTCCAATTTACACTCGAAAAATTTATCAAATGTTTTCTATTTGTATAATTTATGTGTGTCTGTCATTTTAGTTTAATTTCAATTTAAATAATTGGGATTTTTTTAAATATTTCTTATTATTTTAAATTTGCTAATTCTATGATTTATAAACTTCCGTTCAGATGTGCTTTTAGTTTAATTTTAAATGAGATATTCAGATGAACAAAAGGACATATTGTCGTCAAAATGGTTTATAACTTTTCAATTCTTTATTTTTATTCTTTATTCAACTCCAATTTATACTCGAAAAATTTGAATAGTTGCATACTGTCAGGCGTTTCCTATTTGTATAATTTATCTGTGATTTTAGTTTAATTTCTATTTAAGTAATTGGATTTTTTTAAAATATTTCTTATTATTTTAAATTTGCTAATTTTATGATTTATGTACTTCCGTTCAGATGTGATTTTAATTTAATTCTAAATGAGATATTCATATGAACAAAAATGTGCATAACATCTATGCAACACTCTCATTTTGTCTAGTATTTGTCTGCCTGTGCAATCTGGCATCGAGGTGTCAAACTCATATATTTACTTGTCGCTTGTTGTATTTTGTTGTTGCTGTTGTATTTGCGGCTGTTGTTTAATTTGGCGCGTTTATTTGATTAGGAACGCCTAAGCGAAGTACGTGACTGGGTTAATTTGCACCAACCACACACTCACACACACAAATAGGGAAGAAACCACTCACAGTTGAGTGTGTAGTTTTGTAAGAGAGTAGTCAAATAAATCGCTGGCATGTCCTAAGTACATTTACTTGAACACAAAAATGTGCATAGCACGCATAACAATGAAAACAACGGGGGGTGTGGGGCATTAACTACTGACGACTTCCTATTGTTTGCTTATAAGTAGGCCGGATATTCAAATACAAAGTTATGTATCTGTGGCACTTAATACAATAGCATATTAGCTAAGAGCTGATCTTGGTTGTTCTCCAACACTAAGTTGCACGCTTCAACATTTCCAAGAATATAGGTTCAGCCATTAAGCTGTCTTTGAGTATAAATAATTCATTGAAATTCAATTATTTAAGTTTAATTAACATTAGAGTTAAGTTATTTTAATAATTTGTTGAATAACATTGACTTGCTTCGAAAATTACCATTTAATAAATGATATTGCAGAAGGAATCAATTGAATATTTCTCAGTATTAATTTATTCTTTAAATTAAGTTAAAATGTTGAAAGTAAATTTAATTAAATTACACAGACATATGTATTTTTTATTGTCCCTTGAATACTTCCCAATTTTAATCTTGATTTATTCTTTATTATTAAATTATTAAACATTAAAATTAAAACATTTCTACAAGTACTGATTGTTGTTTTGTTCTCTAGATAAGATTTGAGCAGGAATATTTCTCACTTTTATATTATATTTTTATGGAAATTAAAGAAATGAATAAATTAATAAACCCACATAATTAATTTTTGACTTTAGCTCTAGAATATCATCGCAAAAGGTGATTACCATGAGTGTTGACTTTTGTGAAATTTTCGAGAGCTTATGTTGGGATAATCTGGATTTGTTGGTATTCAAACTGCAATTTGCATTATAACAAGGGCATGCAAATTTTGTTGGTCAAAACTTTGTGCCGTAAATCGGGAAACCTGCTTTGAGCCTTGACAAACAGACAAATACGAGTAGATGCGACCCCATTCTAAACAAAACATTTTCTGCTTCGGCTGGACAAAATGCCAATTTATGTATCGCTGCCAGTATGAATATATATATATATACATATATATATATGTCAATATGTGTTCCCCTCAGACCACTATGATCCCACTCTTTGTGTTTGCTTTGGTGTCTGCAGTTTTGAAATATAAACAGAATAGTAGTCAAACACGAATTTGCTGACTCTGATGCAAATATTTATGTAGGTACATAAAAATAAGGGAAATACCAACAAAAGAAATGCACAAAATGTGCCTCAATAAACAGAGAGATTCTTAAATATTTAATATGGAATATATTAGTGTTTATAGAGAGAAACCTGAACCCTCATACAAATGAATTATGACTGTTTTTACTACATTCATATTTTTATGGGCTAGTGACCAGGGATTCTGGATCTGGTTGCTTGGAGCCAAAGAATCAATAAGCGGGTTGGCACTCGTTTTTGGCCGGGGTTTTCTTCCTTTTTTTTTATTATTTGCCATTTTGGTTTTATGGTCGCCTGTTGCTGCCACGCCCCATTGGCGGATTTTTATAGCTGAGTGGGCGTCAAGCCCTGGCAACACTTCTCGCTTAGCCCGTAATGCATTGTGTCTAATACCCAATTAATTTGGGATTTGCAGTTAATGAGTCCCGTAAGCGAGTTGGCAGCCCCGTTCTCACAAATATGCGTGTGGGCAGTTAGAAAGCGGACTTAATTAGCGCCAGCCAACGGCAACCGGCACTGATATATAGCCATAAAAATACCACCAAATAGACCATATATTCCACACGCAGACACAACTGCACTTGCACAGCCGACTACTAACAACTAAAATAAAATAGTAAAAAAAAACTACACTTTCAATTTAAATTCCACAGTTGCAGCGTGTAGAACTCAATTAAATTTGGATTACAACAAATTTTTTAAACGAATTTTTATGTGGTTTACAATTTTTGTGAACATATCCTGTGATTTTCTAAAAGACATGTTTGGATATATAATATGTATATACTAAAATATGGATATCAAATATGTATGCTGGCTAACAGATTTTTGGAATTTAGAAATAATAAAAAGATTTCATAATAGTGGCAATATTTTGATGCATCAGCAACAGAGTTGACTTAGCCATGTCCATCTGTCTGCTTGTCTGTCTTTCTGTCAGAAACTCTAAGAGCTACACACAAATATTTAATATAAGTTGGATCAAGTTTATTAAATTGACTCGATTTTCTCGATTTTGGATAGCAAGAAAAGCCTTATTTTGATGGAATTGTTTTGCAATTAATTCAAAATATATCTTGACATATAACTGATCAACAATAAGTATATCATCAAGATCGGATAAGAAACACTCAAGTTATAGCTAGTTATAATATTGATGATGATCCAGGTTTGCATATATATTTACATATAAATATATATATATTAATAGATATATTTTAATAGATTTAATGTATATAGCATCTGGACTTAGGGTCCGACTTCCCTAGTCGAAGTCTCCTGACTAGTTCATTCTTACCTGCTTTGATTTGATGTTATTTATTACAAAAATACAATTTTATTATAATAGTTTATAGAAATTCGCATATATTAATCGAAGAGTACATATTATATTTATAATAAGTCAGAATTTTAGATTCAGTTTTTGCCTTTTTGGGTCCAATATTATTATGTTAGTCTTAGCCCTAATCGTAGTCGATTACTTAACTTGTTTCTTATGTTTTAATATTTCTATATCCATGACTTGAGCAAAAGGCTCGACTTGGGTCCTTAAGAAGAGTTCTCAACAGTCAAATTTTCAATTATATTATCGGATTTTTATAAAATGTGGTTTTGTTATCGATATTTATCGATATTCGAGAAACGTAGGCAAACTTGATCTGGTATGCGATAATATATATATCAAATTTGAAGTCTGTTGTGGTTTTAAATACCAGCTTGGAGTTAAGTTCGATGTTGCGTAAAGTTAGCTCCCACAACAATTTATAACAAACTACAACACACGCAATAATCATTAACGGCTAATGTTTTGCGAGTACTGTGAACTATTAGCGTTGATTTATATCGAGTATAAGTTGAGGTAGTTTTCGTGTTTTGTTCAATTTAACATAATAATTAGCATAATGATTAATTGTGTATTGTTCGTCCACCTACTGGTCTACCTAGCATAGACGTGACAAACTAATCTAAAATGAACACATATTATTTAAAAGCTTAATTGATATATTTAAATCAGAAATTCTACAAAAATTGATTGGCAAAATAATTAAATGCAAATTGTGAGTACCGATCTATGTTTGTGGGCTATCTTAAATCGAATATTAATATATTAATATAAAAATGACCTTCAAAAGTCTTCAAAACTGGATATATAAGTGCTCATATTCCCTGTGCAGATGAATTTTATTTATCCATTGAGAGAATTTGCATATAAAATCATCATTTTAAAGGCAGAGTCTTCCAATTGATATATAATGTTCAATGACATAATAATGATCAACTGCATAAATTTCAATTCATCAACTTTATCCAGATCGAATAAGAAACACCCACACATATATTTGTATATATGTATAGCACACCTGCTCACATTTAGGTATGAAATTGTGGAGTGAAACTATAAAAATATATTTAACAGCTGAAATCAGGGTATATCATAGTCACTCACTCGAACACTGTTTTCTTAATTGTTTTTTTCTTTAACCGATATATTTTATGGCATGGTTGATTCCTTTTCCATACCAATTCCTTAAATTGAATCTCATATTATATTGCTGCTATTAAAATCGGCGGATGATTAACGAAGTTCCCCATATCAGTTGTGATACTTTGGTACAAAAATAAGTTAAATGCTGGCATCTATGTAAATATTGCGTGCAATTAAATTACCCTATGAAATATAAATATTCAAGTGAGAATTATTTTAAATATATACATATATTGGTAATTTACAACTACGATTTATATTTGATTATTTTTTGAGAATTTTCCAATTTATCGTTCCGTAGGGGAATCAATTTATTTTAGCTATCACCAAAGACATATTTAAAGTGACATTTGACAGAGACGATTTATTTCCAGTTGTGTCCTTGTGAAGAACTCTCTCCGGTCATGGAAGATCACTTGACTTCTTATATATCCATATGAAGTGCCTTGATTATGTTTGTTTAGCGATGCATTTGCTACTGCCAAAATGAGAACACAGATTCATTTGGGCAACTGTCTTATTTCACTTAACCAGCTTTAAAAAGCATGACACATTCTGAACGAATGTCGGACTGGAAAAACAATCAATGTTTGTGGCATTATACACAGCCTGGGGATCACTGCACTTTAAACATAATATCTTATGACAAATAGATATTTATATATATTTGGAAGTCCTCATCTTGGTAGCTTGAAAGGTGTGGCGATTTTTGGTGGCCTGGAAATTTTCTTAGTAACCTTGCATGGAATTTCCTAGTAATCCTAGTAATCTAGAGTAATCTAATCCAAGTCAATTTTTCAAACTGCAAACAAACTTTGGTGACTATAGCTCAAAAACTGCCATTTAAAGTCATTTTCGGTTTTTATGGGCAGAAAGTAGCTCGGATATTTTTTGAAACTGTGGGAGATATGCGAATTTATCGATTTGCACTTCCGAATTGATCGATTTGTATGTATTATTTTTATCAACACATAAGGCCAATTTTGTGTATTTTTATCGACCTTTAAATGGAGTTAAAATTCGGTAACTGTACCTCAAAAACCTCTGTGGAGCAGGGACTATGTGACGGGCGGAGGAGGGCATGGCCTAGAGGGACGTTGCCAACATATACTAACCGAATAAGGGGACTCTTTTATCGTTTAGCGATTAATGACTATATCGATTTAACACTGTTATAATACTCTAGCTCCACGAACTGACAGACAGACAGACAGCCAGCATATACAGCCAATATACTCTTTTGCCTTTGGAAGCAGTGTATAAGAATTTGGTAATAAGTTATAAATTGTTCAGCATATCCAAATAAACTGAGCTTATTGTGCGGCAAATGGGAAAATCCATATATTTTCCAAGAAAATTGATAGAAATTGGGAAATGCGAACTAAAAGCTAAAAGCGCAGTGATTATGTGCATTGATTTGATTGTTTGGTAAAGTTCAAAGTTGGAATTTTGTGTACACAATTTCATTTACTTTGGGCACCCATTCAGTGCGGAGCCATCAAGATAAACCCTTTTATTTCTCTGCTTTCCCGGTCCAAAAGCCCCCTTTATTTATATGATTTCCCATCAAATGAAATCCACATACAACAACAAGAACAACAACACAACAAGAACAGCAACAACAAGAAGCACGAGCACGTGCAAATAATATCCATCAGTCGTATGGCCGCAGATTTGTGTGGAGCACCGCGCCCAACCGAATAACAGAAAAACAACATTTGTGCAAATTTCGGTTCCATTCATTGAATCAGCGGCTGGTGGCAAATAGAAGTGGCGGCAATCAGTCCCAAGGCAAAAAAAAAAGACACCAAGAAAAAAAAACACAAAGATAATAATGTGTGAGTATCTCTTACAACTAACTAACGGTCATGTAAATACATAAGCGTGTGTATGTGTGTGTATGTGTGTTAGGCAACGCATGCCGTGAACTGTTGCGCGAAGCAAGCGCCGTTAATGAACTTAAGCTCAGACATAGGACATAGAGAAAACCCCAAAACTACACACACATAGATAGCAAAGGCGCGGCATACACACACGAACACACACACACACACGCACGCACATGCACTCTCGCGCAGAGAAGAGGCAGTGACCTACCAACCTACTCAAGCTATTTGACATGCCATGCACGAAAACTGAAACCAAGGCAAACAAAAAAAAGAACGCACGGCGTTTCAAACACTCACACACACAAACACATACACACACACACACACACACACACAGACACACATACACACACACTTCAAAACGGCAACAGTTTGCGCGAGCGCCAAACAACAAGAACAAGTGAGAGTCATACCAAATGGTTTGAGCACAAATTCACAACGAACCGCAACATGTTGGCAGCGCACAAAACTGATGACGTATACGAGTCAGCATGTGGCCAGAGCACACGGCTTATGCCCAACCAACAATAAAAGCGACTCCACTCACACCAGCGCAACAGCGCACACGTTGAGTGCGACGGTGTTTGAGCGCAAACGTCAAGTATTGGCGGCATCTTTTGTAGCAAATTTTTCGCACAAGTATCGCAGACGACGCTGTTCTGTTCACACGTTCGGCAAACGCTGCTGCCGCTATCGTTGCCGCTGCTGTTTGTCGTCAGTTACACTTATTTACTACGCATTCGTATTCGGCGTGTGTGATAAAAAAAAAAAAGAGAAAAGTATTTTCAACTTGAATCTGTTGGCACGCGCCTAAAACCAACAACAAATTGAGTAATAATTGCGAATGCAAATGCAAATTCGGGTTTCATTGTCCGACGTGTGTGTATTTGTCTATGTGTGTGAGTGCGAAAAGAATCGCTGATTAAAAGCTTAAATTGGCTTTAGCAAAGCGTACAATCAACAACAACAACAACCACAACCAAAAAAACAAACAACTCAAGCATCAGAAACAACACCAATTACAACAACAACAACAACAAAAGAAAATAAATAACCGGCGCAAAGACGCTTTAACAACAAATAAAAAAATTTAAAAAAAACACACAAGAAATACAAGAAAATAAATAATAATTAAGCTGATATTGCAAGCAGCTCAGCAGAAAGGTGCGACAATTTCAATTTTGTTTATCCCCCACATTGTTTAACATAAGCTTTTATTTAAATTTAATTGCCTTTATTACAAATTCTGTGTTAATCGAACTGCAAACACTGCACAAATATATTTAGTAATATGTATTTTGTAAAATTGTATTGCAAATTATTTGCGTGAAGATTTCGAAATTAAATGCTTCTCTCATTGGTGGCGGAAATTATCGTCTGATTTTCTACATTGGATATACTTATATATATATATACAAATATATATATATATCTATACACATTTCACTGCCCTGCCCCAGACATCTGTAGACATTTGCAACACTGCCAAACATGAATTGAGTCCCAAGAATATTTCAATTCTCTGATTTTTCAATCCGTGAACTTTTCCTTTGATTGCTATCATTAATTTAAAAACCAACAGCAAAACAATAAAAAGCTTCTGCCAAATTTGTATATTCAAATTTCATTCGAGCATCGTAAATAATATTTTATTTGAAAGTGAAAATGAATAACATATTCGATTTCATTTGAATGCATATCGATGCTGTCATCTATTGACATTTTAATGGCTTCATTAAAATAAACACTTGCATATTTAAATTCTTGGAATTGAAAGTTGAATATAGCACTTAATAATTGAATTGAATAACCACAACGTGACATTTGGATACGAAAAAAAACCCAATTATTGGGTTGATAATGAGATACCCTGAAATAAATGTATATTTTACCATGAAATTGATGAGTAAACTGAAAGAAAAAAAAACACATGAATTGTCTCAGGTATTCATTTGTTCATTTAGATATATTAATTTGATATGCATATAGTATTTTTTGTTGGAAATTTAAGGGAATGGGCAAAATGCAAATGTTTTTCTGTGCTGTAGTGTATTCCATAGGCGGGCAATAAAAAAAAGGCAGATTCTTATCTATAGCTGTGTATAACAGCTGTATTTGCCCACATTCAGATACATATATTCATAGAAATATACATTTTATTTAAATCTATCTCAGTTGTTTGGCGGCTCATTGAAGGCGACTGCAGCGTGGCTAAAAAACGTGTGCTTAATCCAGCAACAACAATAATAATATTGAGTAAATAGCGAATGAAAGATGTATAACAGAAACGAATTCATTTAAAAAGAGCCTCACTAAGAATTCACAACTTGCTGCCAAGCACACAAACACACACAAACACACACACACGCATACATACATATATAAATAGCAAAGACAAAGCACGCCAGACAAATGGACAAGTTCACTAATTTAACCGAAAAATGCTTTAGCGCCAGCTGATTGACCGTCAAAAAGCGTGTGCGGAAAATACATAGTGTACACAGAGTGCGGGGGACGCTTTTGCAATTTCCAGTTCCATTTCCAACTGTGCTACGTGCTGGGCTCTCAAGCCGAAACATGCCACCCATTCTCCCCACCCTACCCCAACCCCCACAAGAAACACGCCCTAGAACACCCACAGTGCATATCACTCAGCACCGGCTGCTGACAAACCAATTTACTGTGAACACTAAAACTACCTCAAAAATATATATATAATATATGTATATATATATATAGATATGTATGTGAGATGCATGCATTAGCCACAGTGCGATTTGCGCTGTGACAATCCGAGTTTCGAAAACATCCGACATTCAAGTGAATCTGAGAAACTGAAGTTTGCATTCCAATTCACAAAGCAAATCAAATCGATTATAAGCAAATCGCTTATACTAAGCACTATTTTAAAAGCTGAAATGACCTCGATCATGAATCCGCTCGTTATAAATGTAAATGTAAATATTATATATATATAAATATATATATCCGATAAAATTTTCAAAAGTATTCAACATTTTTAGGTATTTCATTTTGATAAAAATTTTGTTTATCTTAAGAGAAACAGAGAAATTGTACACATTTTTCCAATTTGCAAGATAGAATTCAATTTGCGAATAGAAATTGTCTTTCTATTCTGACACAGAGAAAGAGTGTACAAATTATAATGTAAATATTTTGATTAATTTCTAACAAAATAGCCTATTACATTGAAAATAAAAACCCGTTTACGTACAATTATTCTTTATATCGTATTTTTGGCAACGAGTCTGAAATTGTATTTTAAATGTAAATGTAAATTTTAAATGTAAATTTAAAATGTAAACTAAACTAGGACTCGGATTTAGTTCGCAGAATTAATATAGGTGTAGGTGTAGACTAATTGTCTGTTTCTAAGAATTTACATTCACACATATTTACATTTAGAGAAGAAGAATTAACCAAAAGCCAATTAAGATTTTCTAGACGCTTCTGGGATGGGATTCAATTAGCCCCAACTACTACTTGGTGGAAACACAAATGCAAATTTTGTAGACTTGAATTCTTAGCTGTTTTAAAGAGCATAAGCAGCAACAATGCCAAAAACAACAACAACAGTAATAACAACAACAACAACAATGCCAACAAACAAAACCAAAATTTAAAGCCACCTGATAAAGAGGCATACTCGAAAGATAAGCGACAAATTTGGTACGTGCCTGAAATTCTATAGCCCCAAATGTGTTCTAGAGATGACAAGTGGGGGATTAAAACAGTTTTTAGTACACAGTCTCTAGATGGATGAGGGGCAAGGGGAGGTAGTCAGATATAGTTGAGAACAACGTGTGCACAACATTTCCATTTCTAAATCAATTACAACAAGCAAAAAAAAAAAAAAACAAAAAACAGTTTTTGTTTTTGTTTTATTTTGTGTTAGAATTGGAATTGAAATTGGAAATTGGGGATATGTTAAACACCTTGCAATGGTTCCAGCTGTTTACTGATGGCCACTTTGTCTGTCGGAGCTGTTCGATTGAGTTTTTATTTTTGTTCATCTTGTACATCTTGTGGCTTCTGTTTTATTCAGTTTGGCTGAGTGGCAAACAGTTGCAAATGCCACAACACCGTTTCCATAAATTACACGCAGCAGGCGTTTCTCGTCCACAGGATGTTGTACAGTAATCCCTCCGCATCGCAAACTTAGGAACGACAATTGTCAGTTGTCATTACTAAATGAAATGCAGTCAGAGTGCTTATAGATTTTGTTGACCTGACAACTAGAATATCAGCTGTCGCATAAGCTCCGAATTTCTCAACGCAAACTTTGCAAAACATTTTCAATTATCCTACAACTAGTTGGGGTAAATCCGCTCGCAGCTAAGTTGAAGCTTATCTTTCGTACACTCCAGAGAGGTTATTAAATGATAGCTTTACTTTGAAATGTGCGTAGCTTTGTTCAAGTTTCGACTGAAAACCCAATTTTGGCTGGTAGCGAAAAAGTAGCTTAACCTTGACTCAAGTTCAATTTCATAATGCATAATTAGAATTATTTACATTTCGTTTAGATTTTAAAGCTTTCAATAAGCCACTTAATTGAATAAATAATACATTATTTACATTTCATTTCTATTTTTGTGCTTCCAATAAGCCACTTAACTGAATATTGTCAAATAAACCAGAAAGAACGATTATCGTAGGCACATCGAAGACTAAATACTCTTATAGATCTGACATCTAAATTGTTGTTTGCACTTCGAATTAAAAGCTATTAAAAACAAAACTAAAAAAAATATTTCGCTTTAAAAAAATTACTTATTACAAATTCAGGTAGCTCTGCGCATATAAGACTATAAAATTAGTACAGACAGTCAGACGGACATGACTATATTGACTTGGTTCATCATGCTGCTCAAAAATAATAATACTCTAAAAGAGGGTATCAAAAATTATTGAGTTCTAAATTGGTTATCGGTTCAAAAGTGGCCCGACATCACTTAAGAAAAAAACTGGAAAATAATTTGCATTTGAATTCACAATAATAATTTGCAAAATGTATTCAGCCGGTCTAATTGACATCAAAAGCTATTCGGCTTCAGAATTCAATAAATTAAAGCACACAAAATTAATTAAAATTTAAATGAACAACAAGAAAAACCACATCTTAAATCGTCTTGACTGTGAACGAGCCTATTAAATAAAAAATAGCTTGACGTAGAGGCTAATAAATATATTCTATATATACCATAAAACGCAAACATTTCCATTTGATATAAAGAACTGAGACGATTTATTACACAACTATTGTTTCTCCAGCTACAGTTCAATTAAATTATCTCAATAAGACAAGAATTTCTAATTGAGAGCAAAATGCTGAGGGTTGTCCATGCAAACAGTTGGAATATGCAAGGCAATTGATTTATGTGTGGGATGCTATCATAACTAATTAATTTTTCTTATACAACCGGCCCCAGTATGAATTCATATATCGAGCATTTTTCTGAAGGTTTTATTTATGCCTAGGGGCTGCTTACAAATTCACATAATTCCATTTTAATACTAGCAAGATTTATTATATACTTTATTTTATTCACTTTTATTAGTAAATATTTATATGAATTAATTTGTAGCTTTAAATTTAAAATTTTTGGCAACTTTCAATATGTTTTTCGCTGGATGCAGCTAAAAATGAAGATTTTCTAGAACACATCCAATAAATAACAAATAAATAAAGTACGCAAAACATTTTTTTGTACTATAATAACAGTTATATAAATATGTGAATTTTATTGTGCTCGGAAACTAAATAAAGAAAAAAATGGTTAAAGGGATAAAAACGTTTATTTAATTTCAGTATTTTATAAACACGACTCTAAATTTAGCAGAGTAACTCTAAAGATTAGTTTGAACTTGTTACAAGTTAAGCTGACTAATAGGAAATGAAAATTCTTTCTAACTTCACTTAAAACTAACTCCCATTTTCAATAGATTTAAATATTTAGAACAATTTAAAAGGCATCAAATCAATGAGCCAAAGAAAAATGATTTTAAAGGTGTAGCAAAAAATATAAAAAATAAATAATATATTCATAAATTATTAAACCACGAGCATATTAAGCAGCATAAACCAAAACCAAATTTCGACTCTTGGAATAAAATCACACACACACAACACACACACACACATT